ATGAGAATGGCCCCCATAGGCTCATATGTTTAAATGCTTGGTCTCTGGTTGGTAGAAGTGTTTGGGAAGGATGAGGAGGTGTGGCTTTGTTGGAGGAGATGTGTTGCTGTCTGTGGGCTTGGAGGTTTCAAAAGCTTACGCCATTCCCAATTAGCTCTTTCTCTCTCTGCCTGGTTGTTGTGTCTCAAGATGTAATACTGCCCCAGCACCATGCCTGCCTACCTGCTGCCACGCTCCTCACCATGATGGTCATGGACTCATCCTGTGGAACCATACGCCCCAATAAACTCTTTCTTCTGTAAGTTTCCTTGGTCATGGTGAGTTACAGAATATTTGTTTAATTATGTAAAGATGTATTGCTGTTTTACCTTGCCTGCCTAAGGTACCCGATTGGTCTAATAAAAAGCTGAATAGCAAGGGAGGAGGCATAGGTGGGACTTCTCGGCAGGGAGAATAAGTCGTAGTAGGAGTTTAGACTTTGGGAAGAAAGAAAAGGAGACAGCAGGGAGATGGTAGGGGCCAGCCAGACATGGAGGAAGCAGGAAAGTAGGACATACAGAATGAAAGAAATGTAAGAAGCCCCAACACAAAACGTAGATGAGTAGAAACAGGTTAGATTAAGTTATAAGAGCTAATGGGATAAGCCTAAGCTAAGGCTGAGCATTCATAATTAAAAGTAAGTCTCCACATCTTTATTTGGGAGCTGGTTGGTGGCCCAAAGACAAACCTGGCTACCATGGTGCCTAGCAATAGAGAATAACTAAGCTGGCCCTATACTTCTTATTTGAGCCCCTGTCCTGCTCATTCTGCTTCGTCTCTGCCCACTTCACAGATGGTCGTTTAGCGCCTCCCTAGGGCAGGCCTTAAAATCCCCACTCCCCTGTATCTACAATCCCAAACTACATACTCTGCCATGATTTGTTTTTTGAGACAGTGTTTTGCTATGTTAGTCCTGGCTAGCCTCAAATTCATGGCATCCCCCTGTCGGCCTCCCAAGTGCTAGAATTACAAGCATGTCTGGTCTATAGCAGATATTTTACACAATTCTAACTCCCAGACCCCTGCATTGAAAACCCAACCTAAGCCAGACTTCCAAGACCTCGTCCGTATCCCACCTTGAGACAGGAATACAATGGCAAAACTAAGTCTTTCAAAATGGTGACCTTCTTATCTGTCCCCTTGTCTGATCCTAATCCCAAAGAGAACCTTGTAATTAATGTCTGTCTCTGGGATACTCTATTCCTTTAATAATTGTCTTTGATCCATTAGAGTTGTGGATGATATTAGATATTAGAGTTGTGATATTCTCCACCTGACCTACTGCACAGAAAAGGGGAGCCCTGGGGCTGGAGAGATGGCTAAATGGTTACCAGCACTGGCTCCTCTTGCAGAGGACCCAGGTTCGGTTCCCAGCACCCACATGGTGGCTCTCAACCACTTGTAATTCCAGTTCCAGAGGATCTGATACCCTCTTCTGGCCTCTGTGGCTTATGCACACATATGGTGCAAAGAAACTCTTGCGGATACACACATACATACACAAAAATAAAAAATATTTTAAAAGCCAAAATGAATAAATACAATCTTTTTTTTGGGGGGGGTACCGTTCTGGATGGTATCGGACTAGTGGGTGATCCCACTCCTGTGATTTTCTCCCCTTTGAATATTTTAAGAAGGTGCACACCTCTCTTATTTAATCTGTTGATGGTCAGTTGATTTCAGCAAACCTTCAGTGATGGATGGGAGCTTCACTTTGGCCCTATGCTACCATTGTGCAGATATGAACCTTAAGGCACAGAGCCAAAGACTACACACCTTCTCTTAGAATATTCCTTAAGGGAAGAAACTGTATTCTAATGCAAAGATGATACTCTTTAAAAATATTTTATTGTGCGCACGCCTTTAATCCCAGCACTCGGGAGGCAGAGGCCGGCGGATCTCTGTGAGTTCGAGGCCAGCCTGGACTACCAAGTGAGTTCCAGGAAAGGCGCAAAGCTACACAGAGAAACCCTGTCTCGAAAAACCAAAAAAAAAAAAAAAAAAAAAAAAAAAAAAAAAAAATATTTTATTGTTAGTGTGTGTGTGTGTGTGTGTGTGTGTGTGTGTGTGTGTGTGTGTGTGTGTGTGTGTGTGTATCTGCGTGCATGTGTGTGTGTGGTGTTGGGGAGCAGGTCTAGGACTTTTCACATGTGAGTCAAGCAAGGTGCTACACCCAGGTGCTCTGCCCTTCAACCTTCCTGAGTCTGAGGATGTAAGAGCAAAGAGGAAGTATGGGTCTGCATAGCATGCTCTGAGGTACCTGGACTCACAGGCCATCCCGTCTCTACCAAGGCTCTGGCTGGTACCCCAGACATCTTATCACTGGGATGTGGCCCCTGAGGAGGGTGCTACAGACAGGTCCTTGCCGTTCACTTGCTCACTTCCATGCTATGTTGGATCTTCCTTGGGAAGCCACCCACCCCTGTGTGCCTTTGCCTACATTGGGAACTGAGGGGTCTGTGAGGTGTGTGCTGTGTGCCAGACCTCTGCAAAAGCACCTTGCACACAGCATCTTGTGTAAGCCTCTGTGAAACCTTGTGAGGGAGTGTTGTTCGACCACTCCATGGGTTGGGCATCATGCCCAGCTAAGGAGAATCTGGGCATCTCATTGGAGCCAGCTGCCCTGCACATTCACACCATGCTAGAAAACACACATGTCCAACAATGTTCTGGAAGGTAACTTGCCGGGTTAGGGTGCTATGGCCCAAACATCATGACCTGGTCCTCTTGCCTGAGACACCTGGGATAAGAACCAATTTTCCTTGGCTCACACAGGAACGAGAGCCTAAGGTGATAGTGACTTAATATACCGGAGTGGCAAAAGGTTCTGTGGAAATGTGATGCTCTGGATGCAGTCAGGATAGTTTTGTCAGCCTCTCACCTGCTGCTTGCTGCCTGTGCTCCTCTGTGATACCTCCGCTTACCTGGCCAGAGCCTCTCCAACAGGCCCTGCTCAAAGCCTTGAGCTGGGAGTGAACCTCATCGCTTTCTGGAACTTTCTTTTGGATTTCACTGGGATTGGAGACTCCCGCCACACAGTGTCTGAAGTCAAGAGTAGGAAACGCCAACCAGTTCCTCCTTCCCATCTGCAGCTTGAGTTTGTGTCTCTGTCACAGCAAAGCATGTAGCTGCATTTCTGGGCTCCCAAGTTTCCATTTTTGGTGCCAAACGAATAAAACTCAAGTGATTCTGTCTCTGGCTTTGTGGCTCAGGCTGCCCTAAAGCTTGTGATCATCTGGCCTCAGCCTTCCAAGTGTTGGAGTACAGGTATGCCCCACCAAACTTGATACTATTGTCCTTTTATTTAAAAAAGATTTATTTTGTGTGTGTGCACATATGTGCAGGTGCATACAGGGGCCAGGAGAGAACATCGGGTCTCCTGCAGCTAGAATTACGAGCGGTTGTAAGCTGCCTCATGTGGGTCTGGGATCTGATTCCAGGTCCTCTGCAAGAGCAGTAAGCACTTCCAAGCATGAAAGCTCTCAGGGCCATCTCTCCAACCCATGCTGTCGTGTGTGTGTGTGTGTGTGTGTGTGTGTGTGTGTGTGTGTGTGTGTGTACAGATCATGTGACAAGAATCAGTTCTCTCCTTTCACCAAGTGGGCCCCAGGGACTGAACTCAGGTCATCAGACTTGGCAGCAAGCCCCTTTATCCCCTGAGCCATCTTTTGTGCCTGCCCCTGAACCTTGATCTTCCTACTTTGATTTTCAGAGTGGTAGATGCAAGTGAGCGCCACCACATCCAGATTACACAGTGCTGGAGAGCAAACCTGTGACTTCATGCGTGGCAAGCAAGCACTCTGCCAATTGAGAATGGCCTCCATAAGCTCATATATTTGAATATTTAGTTCCCAGCTGGCAGAACTGTTTGGGAAGGATTAGGAGGTGTGGCCTTGTTAGAGGAGGTGTGTCACTGAGGGTTGGCTTTAAGGCTCCCAGTGCTCTTGTGGATCAAGATGTGAGCTCTCAGCAGCTCCTTGTTCTGCCATCATGGGCTTTAACCTTCTGACACTGCAAGCCAAATTAAATGCTTTCTTCTGTAATTTGACTTGGTCATGGTGTTTTATCACAGCAATAGAAAAGTAACTAAGATGTACACATGCAAAATAAATAAATAAATTGAAAACAGCAACAGGCATATGCTGCCATGCCTAGCTTTATTTATTTATTTATTTTGTGTGTGTGTATGTGTGTGTGTGTGTGTGCGTGTGTGTGTGTGCAGTATGTGTTGTATAGATAAATGTCACATGTGTGGGCCGGTGTGCTCACATACAATGGCCAGAGGTTAACATCTGGATATTTTCTTCAGTCACTTCTCTGCCTTCATTTATTTATTTTGAGACAGTCTGTCACTGAGTTTTGTCTTCTTGGATAGACTGGGTGGCCTCAACCCCCCACCCCCTCAGGATCTGCCTGTCTCCAACCGGCAGCTCTACATTACAGGCAGCATGAGAATGCCTGGCTTTTAGCTGGATGCTGGGGATTTGAACTAAAGCTTGTGCAATAAGCACTTTACCCAGTGAACCGTCTCCCCAGCCCCTGGCTTAAAAGTAGCCTAGTCTTCATCAAGATTTCTATTTGGCCCAGCGGTGGTGGTGCAGGCCTTTAATCCCAGCACTCGGGAGGCAGAGCCAGGCGGATCTCGGTTCGAGGTCAGCCTGGTCTACAGAGTGAGTTCCAGGACAGGCTCCAAAACTACCCAGAGAAACCCTGTCTCTGAAAAACAAAAACAAAATAAACAAACAAACAAAAAAAGATTTCTATTTGATCTGCATCCATTTAGGTCCACATTACCTATTTTATTCAGTGACCTTTATGTTACTGTATTATTTATTTATCTTGGTGTTTTAATTGAAGATTTGGCCTTGAGAAAGCCTCCACCTCTCTCTCTCTCTCTCTCTCTCTCTCTCTCTCTCTCTCTCTCTCTCTCTCACACACACACACACACACACACACACACACACACCTTCCGTTCTACAAAGGGACATTTTATTCTATAAGTTAGAAGTACTCCCTATATCTTTCTGACATGCTCTGTTATTAACCAATGTCTTGTTTCTGTAGATGGGCACTTTAAAAAAAAAAAGCAACCCTTTTGTGAAAGGCTGAATTAGCTGCATATAGAATTTGGCTAATTGCAATTGCTCACAAGTGGTATTTTCTGTTAAAGCAAAGTATCCTGCTAGAACGTTAAATCGCATGGCAGGAGCAGATATAAATGAGGACACTGATTTATCAATGGGAGCTCTCTCAGTGTGTCTGGTCTATCGGGAGAAATGAAGCCATCCCTGTTTCCTCCTCTAGATTATAATTAGAAGCTGAGTCTTTGCACAGCATTTTTAAGTTACTCTTAATTTTCAGCTTCTCATTAAAAATGTATATTTGTTGTCTGGGAAGATTTATTAATAGTTCTGCAAATTCTCTGCAGCTCGTTGGGAACAGATTGTGTATTTAAATCGGCTTTTCAGGCACTCGAGAGCAAGCGCCACCCTCCTCGGTGCTATGCACGCGGAGAATACTAACCAGGAGGCTTCGTGCAGCACCGGTTCCTCCCGTTCTTTGCCAGCACCTCAGCACCTTCATTTCAGCAGCGGCACTTCTGCGTCTACCTGACCAAGTCAGGGTCTAAGGCTTCTAGAAGTCCAGGAAGTGCTGGCTTGGGTGGAGCCTGTGGTCACACGCGCTTCTCCCTTCTGTCCACAGGATGGCAGCATCGAGTCAAGGCTCCAGCCTGATGGGGCCGGCTCTGGGAACTGCAAAGACCAGGTTTCTTCCTGAGAAAGAATGGTTTTAGTCTTCTCCTCCAAGGCAACCCTCCTAAAGCCGTGCAGAGTGTGGTCCGCCCACCCCACCTTCGCTGCACCTGGTGGACAATGACAACACTGTGGTGTATTAGATGATGTTTTGTTTTGAGACTATGAGCATGCGTCTTGGGTCGGCTTTCAAGGGGCTGACTTAGTAAGTGCAACTGAGCAAGAAGGCTGGGTTCAAGCCGGGCGGTGGTGGCGCATGCCTTTAATCCCAGGACTCGGGAGGCAGAGGCAGGCGGATCTCTGTGAGTGTGAGGCCAAGCCTGGTCTCCAAAGCGAGTTCCAGGAAAGGCGCAAAGCTACACAGAGAAATCCTGTCTCGGAAAAAAAAAAAAAAAAGGCTGGATTCCCTAGCTCATTTCATGCCCAAGCCATTCAATGGAAAGGATTATTGTGTTATTTAAAGAGGGACCGGGGGTACTTCTCAGTGATAGAGTGCTTGCCCAGCATTACAAAAACAAGACACATCTTACAAACATGTAAAGAGAATAGAAGACACTGTTGGATGTCTGATTTGCCTATACCCTACGCTTCAAACGAGAGCCAGCATCAGAATTTCACGGAGAGACTGCTTAAAGCAGAGATGGCTGGATCCCTCCCCCCAAAGCTCTTGACTCAGTAGACTCAGGCTAGGGTTGGCTTATTTGCATTTTAACAAGTTTTCCAGTGATGTGGAAGCAGCTGGAGCGGGGAATTGGTGCTTTATACACTCACATTTAATCCTTAGCAGCCCTTTGATATAAGTATTGTCCTCATTTTGCAGATAAGAAAACCTCGGTTCAGAAGCATAAATCCTTGAGGCTGGGGATGTAGTCTAATGGAAGAGCACTCACTTAGACAAACTGTCTAACAGACCCCAGGAGGTGGTAGGCTGTAATGCACGCCTCGTTGTCTGACTCCCAAGCCCTTCCTCCATCCACTGCACTTGTACTTTGGGGGTCCCTCTGAGTGTCATGGCTTCCAAACACAGGAAACTGGGACCCATACCAGTGTAACAGTGTGAGACTTGAAGAGTCTATGAGAAGTTGCTGAGCTGGCATGCGCAGACGTGCTCCTGTGCGCAGGACATGGCTCTTTGTACCATTTACTGACACGTCTGTCTTTGGAAATGAAATATTGGTACTATTAGGTATTTCAACCCCAAACTCCAACCTTGAATCCGGAAGATGGTGCGAAAATGAGGCAGAAGTAATAAGTAATTACAGAATCTGTGAGCTTGCCCACGGAGAAGACACAGTTTGTCTACGGAAATAAGCAAATCAAAATTGGGTGCTCTTTCCCTAGCGGTGAATTGACATAATGATGATTCATCCATGGAGCCCTGTGTGTCACCTGGGCTGGACTGAGCAGAGACTCTGTTCTGTGTTTACTATCCAGGTAATGCTTTCCTCCCCCAATTCCCCAACTCTAGATCAAGAATTAAACCTGAACTCTCAGAGGCAATATTTGGAATAAATATCTGTAAAGAAGGGGGAGAAGACATAGAAGAAAGAATGGAGGAAGACTTAGAAAGAGGGAGGGAGGAGAGGGGAACTGTTTCCCTCTTTTTAAGTCTTCCCTCCATTTAGTAGGTTTTGGCTTGCTCCGGTTCCTTTTTTGCAATCATCCCACTGACTGGTACATCTCCAAAACCAAATTGGATTTATTTATTTATTTATTTATTGGTTTTTCAAGACAGGGTTTCTCTGTGTATCTTCACGCCTTTCCTGGAACTCACTCTGTACCCGAGGCTGGCCTCGAACTCACAGAGATCTGCCTGCCTCTGCCTCCTGAGTGCTGGGATTAAAGGTGTGTGCCACCATCGCCCTCCAAATTGGTTATTTTAAGCTGTGTGTCCTGAACTTCCAGAGCCATGGCCCAGACCCAAGTGTTCCAAAACGCTTCTGGAACCTTCCTCCTTGAGAGCCATCGTAGCTAGACCAGGCACTTGTCTCATAGCAAAGGGTTTATTCCGGCTCGTGGTTCCCGGAGATATAGTCCACCATGACGAAGACTATGGTAAAAGGAGCAGGGGGTGGCTGGTCGCCTCGCCTTCATAGCCGGGGAGTATGAGCCAGGAAGAGCCAGGCACCCTTGTTTGAGCAGGTAACAGCACAGTACATCATGGGGAGCGGGGAGGCAGGGAGGCCTGTTCACCTCAGGGCGAGCTTGTTCATCCTTGCTCAGGGCGAGCATGCTCAACTCGCTTTCTCCTTATTTGGGACCCCAGCCCATGAAATGATGCCACCCACATTTAAGGTGGGACTCCTCACCTCACTTAACCGAATCTAAAGAATTCCTCACAGACACGCCCAGAGGTGTGTTTCCATGGTGATTCTAAGTCCGGTCGAGTGGACAAGACTGACTAGGACAATGGCTAAACATCTGGAGGAAGAGAAGCGTCTACCTGGCAGGGAGTGAGAACAGGGTGGGAGGAGGCCGTGCTCCTCAGAGCCTAGACTTGAGGGGCGTGCCCTCCTCACCCAGCCTGCCTCCCTGCTCCAGCTCACAGGAAGGCAGAGGCCAAAGCCTGGGCTTTCTAGCCCCTTTGCCCTCACACGGTGTACTTGCTGCGCCATAGGGGCCAGAGCTTGCAGCGGGGGAAGAGGGTAGGATTTCTGAGGAAAAAACGTGACAGAGAAGGACCAGAAACTGAAGAGACTGCAGCAGGTGTGTGGTTGGGTTTGCTTTACAGCAACAGAACACCCGAGGTAACGTAGAACAAGCGAGGGCTTACGTTGGCTCCGGATGCTCCACTTTGGGTTGCTTGGTCCTGCTGCTCCTGGTCTGTGGTGTGGGGAAGATGGAATGCCTGCTCACCTCAGGGGAGCCAGAAACAAAGACAGACAGGTAGGGCTGGGGTCCCAGCGTCCCTTTTGATGACGTGCCGATGGCTTTATTTTCTCCTACTAGGTCACACATCCTGAAGGTCCCACTGCCTCTCATCAGTGCCACAGTTGCGGAAGGGTCTTCATCTTTGGGGGACGTTCCAGATCTTCTAGACCCAAAGTAGGACACTACCAGACAAAGCAAAACTAACACTTGGAAGTGTGGCCTGCTGGTCTGGAGGCTGGGACAGTGGCCTTGACCCCCGCTTTGTCCTTCTTTGCTGGGGACTCAGCTCACACCAGGTCCCCAGAGCAGCACACACTGGGGCTGCTTGGGACAAGGCCATTCAGTTCCAGCCCAGGGATGGCCACACCGCTGTTCTCCCATCCAGAGGATCTGACACTCCCACTCCCCACCCCCAGAGAATGTGTCCCCTTCTTTAATTCCATTCTGCTGATGTTGGTGCTCAGCCTCACTATTCACCCACCGGCTTCCTCCAGTGACATAAGCATCCAAACACCCCTCAAAGGTAGACTCCATGGTGGACAGAGTATGGCCCTTGATTAAGTGGAAAGCATCGGACAGGAGCCCCAGTGTTCAGTAAAGAGGGAACCCGAAATAAAGACGTCAATAGTGAAACTTTCTCGACTGGTCTCTCTGCTGACCGTCTGCTCTGGACTGAGTGTCTCCTAGAACTCACATGCTGATGCTCTAATCCTGTTTGATGGTGTCTGGAGACTGGCCTTGGGTAGAGAATTAGGTCATGAGGATGAAGCCCTGTGAATAGATGAGTGACCTTATAAAAAGAAACAGCATCTCTCAGTCTGCCTCCTCTCTTGAAAAATTATTTCTATTTGTTAATGCAAATGGATGTTTTCCTGTGAACTGCGCACATGTCTGGAGCACACGGAGGACGGAAGAGGCCATCGGATCCCCTTTGAACTAGAGTTCCAGACGACTGTGAACTGACATGTGAGTGTGGGAATCAAACCTAAGTCCTCCGGAAAGGCAGCCATCTCTAAGTCCCTCTGACTCTCTCTTTACCGTGTTAGCGTAAAGCAAGATGGCAGCCACTGCAACCCGGGAAGAGGGCCTCACCAAGGACCGTCTCTTGGACCTCCCAGGCTCCAGAGCGCTGAGATCAAAATTTCTGTTAAGTCACCAGTCCACAATATTTTTGTTTTGGTGCCATTTTCTTAGCTACTTGAGAGTGACTACTATCTCAAAAGAAACATATGTGATATATATGTTTGCATATATGTATATGAACTTATAAAATGAGCCCTGACCATTTTCTTATTTTTAAAATAAGGATAATCAGGGGCTGGAGAGATGGCTCAGTGGTTAAGAGTGCTTACTGCTCTTGCAGAGGATCCAAGTTCAGTTCCCAGCAACCACAGGATGGCTCACAACCAACTGTGACTCCAGCTTCAGGGGATCAGACGCCTCTGGCCTCTGAGGGCACCTGCCACATGAGCACACACCCTTACACAGACACATCATCACAAATAATAAAAATAAAATTTAAAGTGTAAAAAATAGAGTAAGTTTACTATAGCCTCTCACAGGACCCTCTGGGAGCAGAGGTGTTAGTGTGGTCCACGGGACAGGTGCAGGCTTCAGGAATGATACACAGGAGAAGAAAGGCAGGGAACCGTCAGGTAACAGGGCTCCAAGGTCCCTACGAGCTGCTCCGAGATCAGACAATGTTTACTGAGGGTCTACTAAACGATGCTTATTGGAATTTAGGGCACAAAGATGTCTAAGACATGGATCCTGCCTTTCCTGGTGTATTAACTGGCTTACCCAAAAGATAAGGCTGCTTCAGTGTGATTCCACACAATTACAGACCCAGCATGGTTTATGAGACGGGGTCTCCTGTCTCCACTTTCCCAGTGCTGGGATTGAGATGAGCCTCACCATAGCCAGCTTTATGTGATTTCTGAGGCTTGCAGGGCAGGTGTTTTACCAAATGAGCCATCTCCCCAACCCTGTTCTGCAATTTTTGATCCTCCTGCCTCACTCTCCCAAACTGCTGGGATTACAGGCCTGTACCACCAGGTCCAATTTGAAAAGAATGACATTGACACACAGTAACAGTGCTTATTGGCCACTTGCTCTGTGCCAAGCATTTCCCCTTGCTTTATAGGCTGGGCACCCCAAGGTCGGACTAGTGGACAGTGTGGGCAGCAAAGTTAGGCTTCAGACACAGGGTGTCTCAGTGGCCACACCCAGCACAGCCCCTCCGCTGCAGCCATGTCTAAGATCACCTATGAGTCTTCGGAATTAGTTTATCGCTTCAGCTTATCCTGGGAGGTTCCAAAACGTTGGGAAGGACTTTCTAGAAGTGGGTCTTGAAGGATAAGGTAGAACTTTCTAGTCAAATGTAGACAAAAGTGACCCAGGTGGAGAGGCAAAACACTTATTTCTGGTAGCTGAAGAGCACAGGACGCAGCTTTAGAAGTCCAATTGATTGTGCACCTGTGACTCCAGAAGCCGGATGAGGGCAGGGAAATAGGAAGAAAAAAAAAGGAGGTGCCTTGGCTGGTGGGTGGGGACCATCCTGTGTCAAGCTTAGACCTCTGACAGCAGAGCCGCTAAAGAATGAAATAACGCAGGCTCTGGACCACCCTTTTTTTTTTTTATTCCAGGATTGTAGACATATTGATGGAAAATTAGCATACGCAGGAAAACAGGAAGATGACAATTTATAATTAATCTAGCCAGAAGCATTGTAGAGCTTCTGGGAAGAGTCAAGGGCTGGCTGCTGAAAATTGGATGCACTGAGAAGTGGTTCTTGTTCCTCCCACTTACTTTGCGTGGGGCTGAGAAGAAAGGCACAAGTTCCAGCTCTGGATGGAGAGGCCCATTGGGAGGCTAGGTCTCTGTGCTGCCCGGCAGCCTGGTCACCTAGGTGACCGGTGGGCCCGAGGACTCCAGCTGCAGGAGCTGAGTGGCTGCGTAGGGTGAGGACGGCAGGCAGTTCTTCCCAGGGATGCCTCTCCTTAGGCTGCCTTCTCTGCTGGTGGCCAGGGCCCTTCTCGCCAAGGTTTCCCCAGTGCCCCGCCTTCCCTTTTAAAGGTTCTTTGAGAAGCGCAGATCTCTGTGAAATTAGATGGGGAGCAAACACTGTCAGTCCTAACGACTTTTTGATTACTGGGAGGATTGTCAGGCAGGAGCTCTGGAGGCAGAGAAGCCTCCTTTAATGGCTGATGTGCTAGACTCCCGGGGCGCAATGTGAGCCTAGCCAAGGGGCCAGCTTGCTGCGCAGCTCTTGGGATGCTGTGAGGACTTCCTGCTTTCCTTGTCCGTGCTGACAATCAGTAGCAGAGGCAGGGGTGGAGGAAGCAAGCTCAATTTGGGTATCCGGAACACCAACAGGCACAAGCCAGGGGACCCTGGGGACGTGACCTCAGCTGCTGCCTTTTATCTTCATGGGCACCCCTCTGGCGAGAGAGCTAAGATTATTTTTGTTTTGCAGGTGAGGAGACTGAGTTCGGAGATGATGCCAGCCGTTGCCTACCCATATGTCGGATCCCGCAGACGCCCACCGTTCTTGATTCAGTACACTCTCAGCAGTGTGTCCCTTCCTCGACGGCACCTTCTCCTGAGTTCCCTGTTCGCAGCTTCCAGGACCTTGACAAATGCTCAAGGTCAAAGTTCCCAGGGATAAATCCCAGTGTTTACCTCAAGATGTGTGCCTGTCGTTTGGGGGGTGGCTTTTGTTTCTAGGGTCCAAACGGCATCAGAGGCCTCCGGGAGTGATCTTTGGACTTCACCCTGCTCCCCTGCTTGTCCAGACCACCTTTCCTACGCCCCTCGGATGTCCTTGTGTCCTCTGGTGTCCTGCTGCACCGCACCAAAGGTCGTTTAAACACTAAATATAGCAGATATAGAAATGAGTGCCAAAGAACCGCCTGTGGTTCGGTGTGAAGTGCTCCCTGAAGACGCCTGTGCTGAAGGCTTCATTTCCAGCGCTGCAGCGTCAGAGGCCAGCGGGTTATGGGAGGCCTGAACTGGTCACAGAATTCACCCGTTGACTTAGGGGGATGGACTGGGAGGCACAGCAGACTGCAAGAATCAGCAGGAAGCAAGGAGCAGGCAGGCGTACTTGCAGTCTAGTTTTGCGTTGGTTTTATTTTGCTTTAGGTTTGTTTTTTAGTTCCTCCAGACGGGGTTTCTCTATGTAACCCCCCTGGCTGTCCTGGAACGCGCTCATGTAGCCCAGGCTGGCCTCGAACTCATGGAGATCCGCCTGCCTCTCCCTCCCAAGAGCTGGGATTAAAGGCGTGCGCCGCCGCCGCCGCCGCCGCCGCCGCCGCCGCCGCCGCCACCACCCGGTTTGTTTTAGTTTTTTTTTGTTTGTTTGTTTGTTTTTGTTTTTCGAGACAGGGTTTCTCCGTGTAGCTTTGCGCCTTTTCCTGGAACTCACTTGGTAGCCCAGGCTGGCCTTGAACTCACAGAGATTCACCTGGCTCTGCCTCCCGAGTGCTGGGATTAAAGGCGTAAAGCCAGGATTTCATCTAGCTCAGGCTGGTCTCAACTTTACTGGGTAAACCAGGCTGGCATAGAACTCCTGATCCTCCTGCCTCAGCCTCCCAAGTGCTGAGATTATAGGCATGAGCCAACACACCCAGGGCCCTGCCCCCATTCTATTTTTTACTTTTTTTTTTCTGTTTTCAATTCAGCTAAAGGTTTATCATTTTTATTAGTCTTTCCAAAGGATCAACATTTGGCTTTTTAAGATATTATATAATAGTTTAAAAAAATCTTGATCCTGTCTCTATTTATTCATATTACTTTTTTCCCAGGTTGGCCTTGCACTTGCCTTGAAGCCCAGGTTGTTTTCAAATCACTGTAATCCTCCTGCCTCATCTACTGAGTGCTGGGATACAGGTGTGAGCCATATGCTTGGCTCCCTCCTATTTTATGTGGAATTATTATGTTATTTTTTTAATTCCTTAAGCTGTACAAAACTCATTTTGAAATGTAGTACTTCATTAGTGTTTTTCATACTTAAAATGTCCATTATGATTTATTCTTTGATTTGGCAATCATTTATATTTCTTAATTCCTGAGGGAATTCTCCCAGTTATAATTTTTGTTTTGCTCAGATGGAGTACGTATCACACTGTGGTCAGAAAACTTTGTTCGCATGTTCCCATTCCTTTCAAATGGTCTGAACTGGACCTACTCATTCGTTAGTCTCCATCAACAGCCCGGGCACTGCAAGCGTGTGGACTCCGGATTTCAGGATTATTGAGCCATTTGTATGTTGTGGCCTTTCCCAGTTTTCGTGTGCTTGAACTGCTGTGTACTCAGAGACGTCACCATTTCGTGCTGCAATTGTGGGTTTGTCTACGCTCTGCTATAGTTCCACACCTTTGTTCTGCATGCTTTACATTTGTTATTCAACGCTTTACATGTAGTGGCTGAGAATTTGTTTATTTACTTAGTGGCTGGCCTTGCAAGCACCCAGACCTGAGTTTGATACCCTAGAATCCACGGAAACAGGGGTTGTGGTGGCCACTTGTAATATCGGCACTGGGATGGAGGAGACAAGTGATCTCTGGAGCCTGCTGGCTGGCCAGCCGAGCCTATTAGGTGAGGAGCAGGCCTGTGAGAGACCCTGTCTCAAACCCAAGTGGGACAGCATGTGAGGAGTGACCGCCAAGTTTGTCCTTTGGCCTCCACCAAGTGGCAGTGCTGCTGACCATGTCCCAAATGACAGCCCTGGCCCGAGCTACGCCAGATTCTGATTGGGTAAACAGAAACCTGAAGTCAACACTCCTCAGAAACCTCATGATGTGGGTTTCTGTGAGGAAATCCACTACTCACGTCCCTTCTCCACACCTTATAGTCACCTGTGTTGGGCAAAGCACATCTAGCTCCTGATTAACCCCAACAGCCAGTGTCATGCCAAACACCCCATCCTGCTGACTGTCATAAAATCCATTTGATTTCCCTCAGGGCTGCTGCTCTCTCCATTCTTTGAGACAGCCGGGCAGTGTGTCCTCCCGATAAACTGTTTTTCTACCCAAGGGGTGGTCTGGTTGGTTTTGATGTGCTTGCTTACAGTGTGCAAATGCAAACACACACACACACACACACAGGCTCTCACAAAACTGCTCAAACACAGACTGATAAGTTTTAAATCCCCACTTGCTGGGTATCCACTGCTGCTGATGTAGTAAGCCAAATCAAACCGAATTAATAAATCCAGGTTTAATGAACAGAGCAGAGAAATCCTGGATGACCCTTGGGAAGGCAGGGGAAGAGTCATGGGGGAAGGGTCACATGGCAAATATGGCGTGGTCTTGAGCAGCCCCAGGGAGGGACTGGCTTTAGGTGGGATTCCTCAGGGGCAGTGGTCTGGACTGGGAGGACAGCTCTAGGGGAGGGGCTACTGTTTGATGGGCTTTGAGGGGGTGGGTGTAGCTAGAGTTTTCCTGCCTGGCCCACAGTCAGGACAAATCTCTCTCACCTGCCAGTCCCACAGCCGCTCAAACCCGACCAAGTAAACACAAAGACTTATATTGGTTACAAACTGTATGGCCGTGGCAGGTTTCTTGCTAACTGTTCTTACAGCTTAAATTAATCCATTTCCATTAATCTATACCTTGCCACATGGCTCGTGGCTTACCGGCATCTTCACATGCTGTTTGTCATCGTGGCGGCTGGCAGTGTCTCTCTGACTCAGCCTTCCACTTCCCAGCTTTATTCTCCTCCTTGTCCCGCCTACACTTCCTGCCTAGCCAATGGCCAATCAGTGTTTTATTTATTGACTAATCAGCAACACATTTGCATACAGAACATCCCACAGCAGGTGGGTTTGGGGAGAAAGAGATGGGGGAGGGGAGTTGAGGTGGAGCTTCCACCAGAACATTCCAGACTCTTTGGGTATATGGGTGTCAGGGGCTGAGGGGGACCTTCCACCAGACTCCTTGGGTATAGGGACACTGGTTCAAGTCTGGCTACTTCCTACGGGCATGGGATAATGATAATATTATATCCTTCTGGGGCCTTTGATGGAGTTGAAGACTAGATAGTTATAATTATAGTTTTCCTTAGTCATGATAAAAGGTTAATTAGATATGAAACTTTAGACTCGCAAAAATAGGATAGATGATAGAATATTTTCTTTAATTTTGCAACTACAAATAGACTAGATATTGTAACTGTAATTCTTGCTTGATAACTGTTTTGTAATATATAATTTTACTATGTTAAACTTAAAAATCTTCCTTTATTTTGTTTTGTTTTGTTTTTCTAGACAGGATTTCTCTGTGTAGTTTTGGTGCCTGTTCTGGATCTCGCTCTATAGAACGAGCTGGCCTCAAACTCATAGAGATCTGCCTGGCTCTGCCTCCTGAGTGCTGGGATTAAAGGCATGCACCACCACAGAGCAGCTAAAAAATCTCCTTTTTTGATTAGGCAGAAAAGGGGAAGTACTGTGGGATGTCTTTCTGTATGCTGTGAATATGTGATCTTCCTGCTCAGCCTCCCGAGTCCAGGCAAGCTGTGCGAGGTGTAGCTTTGTTGGCCAGGCTCTGCTTGAACTGTGCTCAGGCAAGCCTCTGCCTGTTGAATAGCTGGGACTGCAAGCATATGGTACTGTTCCCGGCTTTCAGTCCTCTTCCAGAATAGCGCACAGAATTCGGGACCGCATGGGCTTAAGTTTATTGTGAGGGATGCTATAGAGGTGAACGTACAGGTGTATACAGATAAGTCCCAGGACATTCTGAGGGAGGGAGTTTCTATGCGGCTGGAGTACAGCACCCTCACAGCATGTGGAGGTGTTCACCAGCTAGGAAGCTTGTCAAGGCCCTTCACACGGAAGCTTCCACAGATGTTTCGTCATGTAGAAATGGTGAATCACTAATGCAGTCTCCAGCCCCCCTCATTTTCTCAAAGGGGGAGTAGGCAGGTAATTAAGGCACGGCCTTTCTAGTTAGCAGCCCCCATCCTGAAGCTATCCAGGTGCTCAGCATGATACACCTCGTTAGAGTAAAAGAAACTCTTACTGCCCAGGAATTCTCCGGAATTTAGGGGCCTTGAGTCAGGAAGCAGGGTCAAAGGCAAAACAACAGAAAAGAAGGTTACCATAGGGAAGTACAGCTTTTAGGATCTCCGCCAGGAGAGGACAAGGACCCAATAGGTATTTCTTCTTATGCTACATAGGCTCCCTATGTCTCTCCTGTACTCCTTTGGTCTTTGATGATTTTGGCTTCATCCTCATGTTCCAGACAGCAGTGCTTCATTATGCCAGGTCTTCATAAGCCAAAGGGACTTTCTGGGAGCTCCAGCTTAAGCTTTGGGTCTAGGACCAGTTCGCTTGGCTAGGTGATGAGGCACCCTGATGGTCTTCAGTCGGCCATGGCCACCACAGATCAGGGAGCACTGCTTAGTGGGGGATGGAGGATGGTGAATTCACCAAAGGAAACTATGTATTGTTGTCCTCTAACTTTCTCAACCGTGTGCTCAAAGACAGAACTGGAGATGTCGATCCCTCTTGTCTATGTTTTGATCATAGGTGGTGAGTGTTTTCTTATTTCGACTGAAACCAGACAGGGTCCTCTGATGTCAAATTTGTGAGCCAAGTAAACATTGCATTGTTATTCTTAGGGGGAAAAATCACTAAGAAATCAATTAAGAGTCAGTTTTCTGGGACTTCTAAATGCCAGAGTTCAGA